CGCCGGCCGGGGGCCGGGTCTGTGCCCGCCTGTAAGGCAAGCAGCCTGCTCAGGAGAGCCGTGAATCCCCGCGAAAACCGAAACACCCGCCTGTCTGCCCCTTTCAAAACCAAACTCCGTCTGTGCGGGTGAACCGGAGCTCACTGTCAAACCCTGGTGTGAGACGGGAAAGAAAAGCGTTGGCTGCAGCTGGACTCAGGGAAGGCGGCTGTGCATATCTGCAGCCCCAGTGTAAACCTAGGGTTTCCATATGTTTGCCCGGTGCACGTGTGATCGTATACTAGTATATTCACAGACGGTAAGAGGCAGTGCGGGTTCAACAAAGACAGGTTTCAAAAATACCACGCTAAAAAAGAAAAAAGGCTAACGATGTTGACAATCGTTGTTCCAATTATTTTTTTTTTTTCCTAACAGGTCCCTTTGCATTTTTGCCTTCTCTTATTTATATCATATGCTATTTTAAATAACAAAGGCCCATATGGCTAAACACGTAGACATCTGATTTTCAAAAGACCTCAAAAATTGCATCAAAGCATGCACTCGTGTGTCTCCTAAGAAATCAACAAGAAAGAATTAATGGTGGCATATGGTGTGCCTCGTAGAGAAAACTTAATTACAAGTTAAAACAATTGCAAAAATTTACAAATTCCGTAAACTGAACGTAAATTATGATCCTAGATGTATACCCAAAGCAGGGTGTGTACAGTGAGGAAAAGTGCAAGTTCTAAATTTCTTTTAACTGTGGGAAGGGTGTTACATGAACCCCCTATAACAGATTACCCACACTGTTCCCCAAAAGGGCTTCCAATGACCTCTCAGGGCGTTCATTCACTGCAGCCCACCTGGAAAGGCAACTTTTAAACTCGCAAGTGCTCATTTAAGGGAACAATTCTATTAGCCCTTAATTCAAAACAAAAGCGCTTTCATTTCAAAAGCCTGTTTGAAAGGCTTTAAGACTGGGCAAGCTTTCTTGTCTATCTTTGATATTTCCAAGGGTGAAGGTCACGATTCTGTAAAACTGCTAATAACAATGGTATGTGGTTTGACACCAAAAGGAAAATCAAATATGTGTTTTCTGAGTCTTATTTTTGGAGCAGAAAAAGTCCCTTTGAAATTACTCTTGCCTTCCTCCTTCCCAATTATAGCTAAATAAATGTAATGGAAGATTTCTAGTATTAATTAAACATCAAAAGCATCTTTTCTGCTGCCTTATGTCCATGCAAAGGACTAGTCGTACTACGTTACACTTGTCGATCTTCAAAGTACGGTACTTGCACATACATCTCATGTGACCTTTATCACATTCCTTGTGATAAGACAGACATGTAATTCCCAATTTGTAAGTGAGAAAGTGGAGGTATCGAAGGGTAAAGTGACTTGTCCAAAAATCACATTTCCAACAGATCCCTGCTTTTTCAAGTGCACCGCTAGCTTCCAAACTATCATTTCTCCATAACGACTGTGGAAAATGAAGTTTCCAAAACAAAAAATGCAGGGAGGTTTCTGTAGTCATCTTTTTTTTTTACCTGTATTAGGGCTGCAATTTACCTGGTTGAAAATATCTTAGTCTCTGCTCATCAAGATGGCAGGTGAGGCCCAGGCTGGTCAGGTTTCTATCCTGCGGCTGGTCACAGGGCACCCCGGCAGACAGAAACCTTCAGACTCTAGGGCTGAGCAATGCGCCTGTCGCCTAGGCAGCTTTCTGCTCTTTATCAGACACTCATCATGGACTCCACTTTACATGCAGAGGAGTGACGTTTTCTCAAGTGGAACTTGGTTTTCTAGGTGCCATTCCAGCACTGAAGGCCCTGGAAAACCCTAGAACCTCAGACGTGTCAGAGACCTGGGGGCCTATTCGTGACGTCCAGGGTGTCCCTGCTTAGACCCGGTAACAACCGGGGTGTCACCTCCCGGCTCTCCTGCACCCATGGGAAAGTCACCAGCCATTTCTGCTTGTGGCAGTCCACCGCCGCCTCCCCTCTGCCGAAAGGAAATGTAACTTCTCTGATGATGTGTCCCAACCTAAATGCCAGCCAGGTGAGGGATGGGTGACATTTAGCTGTAAAGACAGAAACATTTTTATTCTTAAAAATGAGTCATTCCATTGTTTTGTGCAGCTCATAAGGAAGAAGCTAGGCATGGCTGCATCGCTGGAAGATATGGATGACCTTCCTTAGGAATCACTTGGAGGATTGATGCACAACTTCATTCCTTTGTTGAAAACTGGTCTAGCCCTGGCCGGTGTGCCGGTGGGTGTGGCATGGTTGGTTGGGCATCATCCTGCGCACCAGAAGGTTGACTGTTCGATTCCTGGTCGGGAGGGGGGGGGGGGGGAATGGAGCATGCAGGAGGCAGCCTAGCAATGTGCACTCTCACATCAATCTCTCTCTCTCCGCCCCCCCCTCTCTAAAATTCAATTTTAAAATCTTAAAAAAAAACTGGTCTACTTACTTTACAGTGACACCATCCATGTGGCTTTCAAATGCTAGGCTCAAAGTAACCTTAGCACCAATACGAGGTGATGAAGCTGAAAAGAAATGCTGGTGTTGAGCATTACTCAAAGCTAGAGCTAGTTAAAATAAACCACTCATTCATTCATTTGATTGTGTATATTTCAAACATTGAAAACCTACTATGAGCAAGGGCTACGGCTATAAAAAAAATACTGCCCTCAAAGCACTAGTCATCATTTGGGGCCTATGGGCAGGCAAACAGTTGAATTGCAGAGCAGTGGGGTAAGTGCCGCAATAAAACCATGTCACAGGTGCTGTGTGTTCAATGCCAACGATCCCAGTGCTGGGCCAGTTCGTTTTTAGAGCCATTCTCAGCCAGGCCCCCTGCTCTGTATTGCTAGGAGCAGCCTCTTACAGACCGACTGGAGGTGAGAGGAAAGTAAAAGCTAAAGAAATTCTCCCCTGCTCTCTAGACTTTGATGGCATTTCCAGCACTGGCTGCAAGTAGCCGAGTGACCCCAGCTCCCAGCTTAGGTAACACTGCCACTTCCTGTTAGTACTCCAGCTTAGGATGTTAAAGGCTTCCTGCTGAAAAGTTTTCTGGGTAACTTCACCTTCTCCCGTTTGTATCTCAGATCCTCCATCACCCATATGAGCAATCCCCTGCATTAAATCCCTTCTGTGCACATCAGTAAATTCCAGTGGAAGAGCATCTTACAAAATACCTCAGCAGTACTCCTCAAAACTATCAAAGTCACCCAAAACAAGGATATGCTGAGAAACTGTGACAGCAAAGAGGAGCTTTAAGAAGACATGACAATTAAATGTGTTGGGGTATGCAGGGTGGGATCCTAGCACAGGAAAAGGATATCAGGTTAAAAACTAAGGAACTCAGAATTAGGATGGGCTTACCTAGTAATAATGTATCAATATGGGTTTATTGAGTGTAACAAAATATCACACAGTAACAAGTAAGGTGTTAATAATAGGGGAAACAGTGTGAGATATGTGGGAACTCTTGTACTATCTTCTCGGTTTTTCTGTAAATATAAAACTTATAAAAAATAAAGTCTATTTTTAAAAATTCCTTCTACGGTAAACATTTAAAGTGGTTTTGTTTCCCGCCTGCAAAAACCCTGTTGCCTCCCTTCCCAAGCGGGGGCAGGCCTGACCCAGCAGGTCCCGCTTTTTTACAGGGAGATAAGCAGGAAGTTTAACAGTCAGGATATCAAGAAACATCCCAGCAAGGGATCAGGCTGCTCTGGGAAACCAGGGAAAAGCCTGGATCTGAAGCCAGAATGTGGTCCGGGACAAGGATGACGGGACAGGGGAGAGGGATGTGCGTGAGGAAGCCACGGCAGCCGGCCAGGGTGTGGAGCCAGGGCCTAGGGCCCATGCCTGAGAAGGGAGCCTTGAGCCTGCTTTCAACCGGAAGTCAGAATGACCTGGGGTGAGGGAGGGGCTGGCCCTGGGCTCTCTGGGAGCATAGACAGAAGAGGAAGAGGGGAGAAAGGGCATGGGGTGAAGGAGGGGAAGAGGAAGAACAATAATCATAGCAGCTAACAGTCACTGAGTCATTTTACCTGCATTTTCTCATTTCTAGTTCCTCATAAGCAAGGCACTATTTTTATTCCCATTTGACAACTGAACTTACCCAAAATTGCATCGATATTTAGGGGCAGAATTACAGCTCAAATCCAAGTCTGTTGGACGCCAAAAGAGGCTCAAGAAAACACCCTGCCAGGCAGTCTTGGTAGAAGCTATGAAATGGATCCTCAAGGACAAGTAGGGGTAGGATGTAAACAAGAGTGGGGAGAAGAGGGTCCCCATGGAGGGGACATCCCAGGATAGGGAAAGGCATGGAGGGATGAAAATGGGAGGCAGGATGGAGAGCAGTGTGGCCAAAGCGGAGGTTTCAAATGAGGAAGTGCCTGTGAATCCCGCTGGAGATGAGGCTGGGCCAGTGTCCACCAGGTTTGAACTTTATCTTGCTTTCCACATGGCAAACCCTTCATCTCCCTTAAATCTTTGCTCAAATGTCCCCTGCTCAGTTTCTCTTGATCCTCCCAATCCTGCCCTATTTATTTTTTTCCTTTTTCTCTTGCACTTATTACCTTCTAATACATTACTAATTATTCATTGTTTCTCTCCCTCTCCCCCTCCCCCCCACTTCACACATGAATAAAAGTTCTACAGGCTAGGAATCCTTGTTTTGTTCAGTGATCATTTCCAAACACAGTTTCTGGCCCGTTAAGTTAGTAGGTGCTCACTTTTTTTTTTTAACTGAATGAATGAAGTTAGTAAATAAGAAGGTGTTTGTATCAATTAGGGTTCTCCAGAGAAATAAAACTAATTGATTATGGAAGCTGCCAAGTTCTAAGATTGGCAGTCAGCAAGATGAGGACCCAGAGCCGATGCTGTGGTTCCAGTCCAAACGCCAGCAGAAAGAAGACCCAGGAAGCAGGAGAGA